AGAATATGCTATGTTAATTAGTACTGGACTCTCTTTTGTTTAATAGATGGATCTGAGATAGGCTATTGTTATTTAAGTTTGGTATCTTAGTAGGAACTTTCTTCTATGTCTGCATGCACTAACTAATTGGTTTCTTTGGTTAAAGTGCATTTCTTTGGTTAAAGTGCATCGTTTATTAACATTAAGATACATTTTATTTTGCACTACAGACTGTTTCATGAGGGCACAGCCTCAATCATCAGGTGCTCGGCTCTAAATGAAGCTTACTCGGAATAATGAAGTACTGTAGATAAAGATGATAAAAACTAAATAAAGAATATGCTATGTTAATTAGTACTGGACTCTCTTTTGTTTAATAGATGGATCTGAGATAGGCTATTGTTATTTAAGTTTGGTGTCTTAGTACCTGTAGGAACTTTCTTCTATGTCTGCATGCACTAACTAATTGGTTTCTTTGGTTAAAGTGTACTAGCTTCCGGATTGCATATAATGTGATATTTCTCCTGGAGGCATAGGTTGCATCATTTATTAACATTAAGATAGATAAGATAAGATACACTTTATTGCTCCAAGTCGGAAATTCAGTTGTCGCATTAAAATACAGTAAAACAATTAAAAGAATGATCATTAAAAGAATGATCAAATATAATGAACATTAGAGTATGGCTTGCATTTAGATAGTATTCGCCATTGTATTTTATGCTTTACATTGCTGTCTTTAAGTTTCCAAACGTATTGGCTAAGCGTGGTACTATTTCTATATTTAACATTCTGGAATGAACAAGTATGCGCGTTATACCTACTTTTAAAAGTATTTTCGGTGAGACCGACGTACGTCTCAACCTTATTGTTGTCATCCCTTGTGATAGTGGCCTGATAAACTACACCACTGGTTAGACATTTACTAGACAAGGGACATTCATTACGGCAATTACATTGCTCGATGTTATCAAAGTGCGTATCCTTATTGTTCTTATTTAGCACCTTTTTGTTGTGAGCGGATAGTATCGAGCCAATATTGGGCATACAGCTATAACTGATCTTGATAGTGTTCCTATTAAACACTTTTCTAAGAGCATGATCATGTGGGAAACATTCATCTACAATTTTAAGAAATTCATGTCCAATTTTTCTTTTAACATTGGCGCTGTTAGGTGGGTTGAACCATATAATGTTTCTTTTTCTTTTCTTTCTGACGTTGGATTGCACGTTGTGAGTAGCCGGATTATATTTCAGCTCATATTTGAACCCGCTTTCGTTGAGGGCTTCCTGATACGGTTTCTTAGTTTCGTCAAAAGCTGCTTTGTTAGAGGATATATGGGACAGTCTCTTGTTTATGCCTTCTGGGATGTTCTTTATTATAGATGGCGGATGGTTGCTCTTGCAATTGACATAGCGCGGCTTGTTGTTCTCCTTTAAGTAGGGTTTATAGCTTCCAAATTAGAACCCAAATATGATAATAATATAGGGCTATACAGGGATGATGGACTTGCTGTCTTCAACACAACCCCCAGTGAAATCGAGCAAATTAAAAAGGACCCTGTATGCTATACATTCAAAGAACACAGCTTAAAAATTACCATTGAAGCAAACAGGAAAGGGTGAACAGTTTGCCTGATAAACTGTCTCCTTGGAAGGACCCGACCAAACTTATCAAACTTGCTGATTCTGATTTTTAATTTTAATTTTAAGTTTAGTGTTTGATATATCGTATACAGTAAGTTTAATTTCCCTTTCAGTACATCCAGCTTGTTGAAGAAGTTTAAGTGTTGTTTCCCTGTCGATTGAATCGAACGCAGATGACAAATCAATCCCCATTTTTGAGTGCAAAATTTCCAAAATATAGAATTTCACTTTCAAGAATGAGGATTTGAAAATAAATTAGATGGTTACATTGTATACTCTTTGTTTCTTGCTTTATTGAAAATGTTTTGGTTTTGGAAGCTGATTACAACATTAGAAAGCATAGCCTACATGAAGTCATATTATAGTAACTCAATTTTTATTACATATTCTGAAAGCACATGAGTTGTAAATATGATTTTATAAATCATAATTGCTGATCGGACATTGTGACGTCATCATATTGCCATCTGAATTAAAAAAACTGAATTTTTATATGATAAATATTATGAATGATAATAAGTCCCTAACCAACAGGCGTTTGTCAATGAGAGTTGATACTTATATCTTATATCAGGAATCAACATTTTGTGACATTACCATGCGTGCGTCATGACATGCGCGTACGCATGAGTAAATCTTTTAAATGCTCCAAATTCTTTTTTAAGAAACTGAATTAGCGTATACTTTCAGTCATTTTCAGCATTTAAAAATTGTTCAATCCGCACCGCGCACAATTCTTCTAGGGTCAAAGTGCGGCGGATCACCTAACTCGTCCTCAGTGACGAGTTCAAATCAAATAGTTTGATTTATATTTGTTTTCTTTTTCCTTTTTTTATCGCCACCATAATGAAAAATAAATGAATGAAGCTTTACTACTACTTTACTTTGCAAAATAAGGTAATTTTAAGTGTCTTTTAGGTAATTGACCATGATTTTGTGGGGGGGGCGCAAGTAATTTTTGGAGGGGCGTGCACCCCCCCCCAGATAAGCCACTGCATACAGCAGTGCCAGGGACAGGGGATTAAGCCACCAACCGGACAGGTCAAGCCCCCCCCCTGTCGGACAGAGCTCGTCGAGCAGTCAGACCATAAAACGTATAAAAATAGGCCCACACCAAGCCAACACATGTCAGTCACAGCCTGAGAGTGCCATTTCCGGCCATCCAGAGGTCGTGGGTTCGATTCCCACCCAAATAAATTTCGGAACGTACTGAGCATTCAGTACAACAAAACATCAGGTAGGGCAAACAACGTTTGTATTAATAATTCTCCTGACAATAAAATGCCATCTGAATAATCTTTACAATATATTTATTCTATTAAAAAAATGCTACCAGGAGGTTAGGCCTACCTACTAAGCCCTAATAAACTTCATCAGCTACAATCATTTGGTATCGCGAAGAGCTGCACAAAGAGTGTCAGTGCGCATATACTACTAACAAATCATTCTCAGCTAATGCACATGCAGAGCTAATGTATTGATCACTGTTTAACTGGTCAACGCAACCATCAGTTTAATGATTAGATAGTACACTACAACTAGCAGTTTGAATTAAAGGGCTATAGGAAATGTGATAACGTCACAACTGACTTACAAAGCAATTATATTCAAGTAATTTTGTACGGTACGCTGTAGGAAAGATAAGCCTTAAGCCGGGAACTCGTACGCTCCTGTGGGTGCTGGACAACATGGTACTCTCTGCAGATTGTCGGCAGTCTGAATGGGTTTTCATTAAAAATGATCCGTTATGTGCGCATCATGGCATTGCATTGTCTACAGAATTGCATCTGCCGACGACTATTGGTGAGGTAAGTGCCTGGCTTATGGAGCCATTATTTCCTTCAAAAATTTTGTTCAG